TAGTCAGCCCTATGCTGTCAATTCCGATATCAAGTCTCTGTCGAAAAAACAGATTAACAGAATCTATCTACCAAAAAAAAAACATATCCTATGCTGTCAAATCCGATATCATATCAAGTCTCTTACGAAAAAACAGCAATAAAAGAAAAAAAAAGTACTTCCTCTTGGTAAAAAAACATGCGTTTGCCGGGAGTCGAACCCGGGTCTATTGCTTGGAAGGCAATTATCCTAACCGTTGGACTACAAACGCTGCTATGGACCACTTTCTATTAAAATTACAACTGACTAATTAAGTATCTTTATATGGAATAGAACCCCAAGCCACATCGATGGCAAGCAACAATGGCATAGTTGGTTTGAGTCAGTTCGAATGATAAGCCAAGGACGAACTTTAGTTGAGGGATGAAACATCCACGCCTCTAATCGAGGAATCACCAAAATTGAAAGTTTCATCACGCGGCCATCAATTCTCGAAATGAAAATTGGTGGGGGAATACAAGAATCTAAGCACATCACATAGAGGGAAACGGCTTTAATTCGTAGGACAAAGAATCCTCTGTACCAAGTCCGAATTGAAACTAGGATGGTTGAGGAGGTACGATGGGTTCAGAAGCAGCCAGTTCTCGATGAAAAGGCAGTGAAAAGTTTCAGAAGTTTGGAAGTACTTTTCTTGTTTTCACACATTGTGTCCTCACAATCCACATCCACTAAACGTTATTGAAACCAGCAGTGTGATAGAGCTAACCGCCAGCAATGGTTGGCGGCGATAAATGCTACAGGATCATAGGCACACTGTTTGATTGAACACACAGGAGCATGTACCATCTATAGCAGTACACTGATTGAGAGACCCTTAGGCTGATGAGTCATGAAAATGGACCATGGTACAAACTTACAAACTACTCGGTGAATTATTCACCGCGGAACAGCCGGTGGTCCTTACAGCAACATGAAGTAGATTACAGCGACAACAAGCAGATCAATCAAGAAGATTCCCCTAATTACTAACAGATTTATGATGATCTCAAGCAGATTTACTAACAGATTTATGATTTATGATGATCTCTAGCAGTGACTGCAGCTGTTGTGGCTATTTGTGTACCATAACTATTTACTTTACAGTGTTTTGCAGCTGCTGTTGCTGCACAGCGCTTCAAAGAGCACAGCCGAGCAGATCCAAGAAGTCCCTGGCTAAACACACCTAATGCAAGTCATGATCACAATAGCATCTGAAACCCGAGATACCAGTCCTAAATGCAACATAAAAAGCAAGTTACGGCAGAACAAAATGAGGTGACCATAATTCTTACTTTTTTTTAAGAAAAGTTGTTGCAGAAATATAAAGCAGCTAGATGTAAAACAAGTAATATTAAAAAAACAGAGATGACAAAATAAATGCTCATTGGTGTGATAATATGAAAGATTATGAAACAAAATGTTGACAATAAGCTGATCAATCAAGGAGTTTCCTTCAATAATAGCTGATCAGATGCATGATTATCTCAAGATTTGCAGGTGACGTGCTACAAGTTAGCTGAGGAGTGAGCAAGATTCCCAAACTTAATGCTAGTTGTTGATCATTTGATAGACCTCAACCTATCTATAACTTGTGGGACAATTAATACAAAACAGTCGAACATTCCTTAGATTTGATCATTAATAAGTTTACATAAGGTCCCCTCACAATCATCATTTGCATCCCTAACTTGTCATCACATGACCTGAATCAAGACGGCAATGTGATCATGTTTTGTTAATACATAATAGTACAAGTTCCTCCAGTAAATGATGTTCGGAATGTTAGCCCCTGCTCCCTGGCTTGAAAAATTAGTCAGGTACAAGTAAAAAAACCCGGTGAACTAGTGATGAGGAGGTGCTGATTTATTTGGTGTAATAAAATGAATCTAGCATGTTCAGTTGTGAACAAAAGAAATATGGACTCTCCAACCAATACAAAACTGCAGGTTTATAGCACACATGAATTTAGCGCCATCTAAAATAAAGAGAAATAAACAAAAAAGCAAAGCCTTCCAGCAACTTGCAGATCAACAGATTGGAGGAGCTTCTATGCTCCAAATACTTAAGAGATGCACAAATTCAAAGCATAAACCAAAGGGTTGCTTCCCAACTAGCTACCCCTTGAATGCTAAAAGATTCACGCAACTCCCACTGAATGGTTGAGGCAAGCATCTTTTGAGGTCTCGATAAGTACTCATACCTTATTTGCAATCAGAGAAGGCTGTATTTCGAACTAATAATATAGTATTTATTTAAGCTTTTGGTTTTCTTGGCAATAAAGTGACAAAAAAAACAAAGGTGCACTAAAGAAGGCATTTACAAGGGCTGTACCAGCCATAGCACATATACCCATCTCATTATCATGGTAGTGGTCGTTGGCACCAGAAAAAGCACCTAAGTGAAACTGCCTCATCATACAGACACAGGTGGTCCTTTGTATAAGAACTAAAAAGACTTAGACTAACTGGAAAAACACTAATGCTACCTCAATACCTTCTCTGATGTATACTTCTTCACCTTTAGCTTTCTGTTTCTTCTTCTAGTGTCTTCGTAATTATCCTGATCAGCTTCATCAACATAAATAATTTCAGGCTCATCATCGGCTTCAACATCATCCTCATCATAATTGGCAGACTCTAGCTCACTCCTAGCATCCCCATCCTCTTCCTCTTCCTCCTCATCTTCATATTCATCATCAAAATATTGTTGAGCTCGCAGAGTGTGGAATTCTGGAGGGGGAGGGCAGTCTTCAGTAATTGCCTCATCCCGTTTCATAACGAGATGTCTGATGATCCTTTCATCCTTGTCTAGCAGGGTCTTGAAGTCATTGATGTATCTTGACTCTATCTCAAAGTTCATTAAAATGTAATTGGCATGTGTTGCTTTCTTTATTTTGTAAGCAAGCCTGCGCAGCCCCCAATTGTTAAGCCTCCATATCCTCCCTTTCTTCTCCCTGACAAAATCTACAAGAGAACAAAGAGAATAGTTGTATGTTAACTCTTCAGTAGTATATTGATAAACTGCTAGACTATTCCATAAAATGTAAAAACAAATAGGCTCAGGTATTGGCTGATTGAAGCAAATATAATAGAAACATGTACACCAAAACAACAAGGAATAGAGAAACAAAATTTTCCTTCCTGCCCTAGAGATTGCACATAGAGATGGAAAGCACAAAGGCAGCAAAAGCAAATCGGACAGACAGTAGCAAGTGTAGCAGGAAACGGACCTATAAGAGTGCCAAACCTACAGGCAGAACATGACATATAAGTACCTTAGTTTTCCTTTAGCTTTAGGCGACTAAGATTAACTCATTTAGTTAGTATGTTTAGAGAGAGAAAGGACTCCAGTGTGCTACAGAAATTTCACCAATACACAAGTGATGTCCGAGTGACGAGTGTTGAGAGACACACCTTGTACTTTTGATACAACATTTTCAACTTCTTCAACACGATCCTCATGAATTAGATAAACTACTTCATAGTGCCGCACTGTGAAAGGACAAAGTTCAAGCTGAACTCAGAAATCCAGCACAAATGAAAAGCAAGTAATGCCAGCATGAAGAAATAGGAAAAATAGCTGGACGGAAGAGGAAAGGAAAGAGCTCTTACTTCTTTTCAGATTTAAATCACTTTCTAGCTGAATATTAAGAAAATCATACAGCTTTTCTGCAAAAAAAAAAGAACAGGATTAGAATGATAAAATATTCACATGAACCATGAAAAGGGTCTTTACAGTACCAAAATGGATATCCAAAAAAACTTTATAGCAGAAAAGCATACCTTCGTCTGCATCAGCAAATTCTGGTGACACCTGACCATCCTCTCTCACCATTTTCTACAAAACAACAGAAATAAGAAAAGCATGTAGTTGTTTAGCCTATTGCAATAGCCTTCGATCTTCCCCATACAAAACTTAAGAGCATCTCCTGTTTCTACCGCAAATGACCAAATCCATAATGTTTCGTATGCCTTGGGCAAACTTCATCATTTATTTTCTATTTGCTCTAGTGGAGTACTACTAACTGTTCGTTCATAAATTTCATTTCTAATAGGAAAATGGCTCTGTTGTCATGAACAGAAGATTGCATTGATTGGCAATGGTTACTGTACAAGAAAACTAAAACATTGCAGAGGTTTACACACAGACGCAAGCATATAACACTAGATTATCCCTAAAAAAAATCACATGTCCACCATTCGCAACATTAAGGCCTACTTACACAGATTATTGGCTGCTGCCAAGTCATTTACCAAAACCATTGCATTCAGGGAGGAATCTAGTCTAGAAGCAGAAACACGAAAGCAACCATGTCCAGTTCCTCGTCCCCCAAGCTTAAACGCTAGATAGAAGTATCTAGAGGCAGCCTAGCAGGGAATGAATGAACAGAAAAAAGACCGAACCTTTCTAAGCAGGACGGCCTCAGGGAACAGCCCGGCAGACTCGCCCGCCTTGGGCGCGAAGCTGTGCGTGTCCACCCGCTCCTGCGCCTCGCCGTCCCCGCCCCTCCCCCTCTTCTTCTTCGCCCAGACTGCCACGGCCCCCCGCCGCCTCACACCTCCTCCAACGTCTACGCGTTGGAAGTTCATACGCATCCGAGGAGGCGGCAGCGATGGCCCGAGGAGGGACAGAGCCCTCGGCACCGCGGTGGCCTCCATAGGTGTGCGCGGCTGGATACGCCGGAGAGCGAGGTTCTTGCCGGGGTTTTTCCGGTGTGGCCGTGTGGGGACGCGGAGCGAAATGGAATGCGGGCGAGGAGAAGGATAAGGTGCTAGGTGGGCCGAGCTAAGTTTTGGGCCTTCAACTAAATGAGATGAAGTTTGGGCCTTCGCATATGCATGATGGGCCGGCCCATGGCGTTTTATGACTAGCAGAAGGCCCGACTTGTCCGCCTCTTCTCGCCATCTTCTTCGTTTCGTCGTTCTTCCGCCGCCGCAGCCGCCGTCGCCGTCGCCGCAGCTAGGGTTTTTGCCTTTGTGGCTATGGACGCGACGGGGCAGCAGGAGCAGCATACAGGAAATGGAGGCGGAGATCGCTACGGCGTGCTTCTCTACTACAAGTACGCCGAGGTGCCCGACGCCGCCGAGCTCGCCGCGTTCTACGAGGCGCACTGCAGCGGCCTCGCGCTCGTCGGCCGCGTCCGGGTCGGCCCCGACGGCGTCAACGCCACGGTGAGAACATGCCCCCGCTTGCTCTATCTTCTTGGCATCGTAGACGGCGCCTTTGGGGCAGGGAATATCGAGTTTTGCATAAATGAACTCATCACGACCTCACCGGCCCTGCATTTTGGTGTTGCTAGCTCGGAGGGCGGATGACCGCGCTGGAGAAGCACGTCGCGGAGTTGAGCTCCAACGCCTTGTTCGAGGGCACGGATTTCAAGCTGGCGTCCTGCGACGACCCTGTCGACGAGAGGGTCGCGCCAGGGAGTGCGGCTTCTCCTCGCTCTCCGTTCGGGTCGTCAAGGTTCTTGCCACTGCTTCCAGCAGAATGATTTCACCTTTGACCAGCTGGTAGTGCCATCCATCACTGTGTTTTGAATTGTTGCTGCATTGGCAGGAGCTAGTTACCCTGTGCTCCAACCCCACGTCGGCACCCCCAGAGATCTCGAGTGCTGGGAGACACTTGTCGGCGGCTGAGTTCCATTCAGTGCTCCAGAATGTTGGTGAGTGTACTCTCGGACTGAGGCTTGTCCATGTTTGTTTGGGCTGCCAATTTCTGGTTTAATTGTTCTGTGCTTTTAGCTGGGACTAGTTTGGATGCTGTGGCATATGCGGAGAAGAAGGAAGTGGTTGTCTTGGATGCAAGGAATGTATATGAGACTCGGATCGGCAAGTTCAATGTGCCAAATGCGAAGACCTTAGACCCGGAAATTAGGCAATACAGTGACCTGCCTTTAATCTTGAGTACTTGCCATGCTTGAGTAATTTGTATTGTTCATGAGTCATGACTGTTTATTATCATGTTTATGTTAGCTATTTGGTGGCATTCAGCGGTATCTGGAGCAATTTCCAGATGGTGGCTATTTTGAAGGAAAGAATTTTGTATTTGACCACAGGTTGGAGTACATAATAATACAGCCTGCAAATCTCAAACTCTTCCTTTTCAGTGTTTCATTTGTTTTTCTTCCCACTAATTTGTCACAATGTCATTTCATAGAATCTCAGTGGGAAGCCTTAAAGAAAACATACTTGGAGCGTGTTTGATATGTGGTTCTTCTTTTGATGACTATTCATCGCGCTGTCGGTGCAGCCATTGTAGAATGTTGGTCCTAGTGTGCACTACATGTCAGGTTGAGTCAAAAGCAATGTTTTTTTAGTGTACTTTTCAGAAAGTTTTGTTGATTGTCATATTGATTTTACGCTAATTTGTATAATTGCTTAAAAAAGTTAAACTTGTTTTTTAATCTCCAGGATTCCACCAAGGAATATGCATGCGAGTTATGTCAAAAAAATGGAAAAGAACCCTGCCAAATATCAACAAGACAAGACTGCAAAATACAGATAGGACTATTTGAAAGCTTTGAAAAGCCATCCATAAGCAATCACAATGCGGCTAACAAAGTTCCCTGGAGTGATGGTAAGGTCTGTATCAGTTTTCCATTGCACTCTCTGAATACAACAACAACAACAACATAGCCTTTCAGTCCCAAGCAAGTTGGGGTAGGCTAGAGTTGAAACCCACCAAGAGCCCCAAGTCACGGTTCAGGCACTTCAATAGCTGCTTTACAAGTACTCATATTCAAACATAGATCTCTAGGTATATCCCAAGCTTTCAAATATCTTTTTATTGCCTCCCCCCATGTCAATTTCGGTCTTCCTCTACCCCTCCTCATATTATTATCTTGGCTTAGGACTCCACAATGCACTAGTGCCTCTAGAGGTCTCTTTTGGACATGGCCAAACCACCTCGACCGATGTTGGATAAGCTTTTCTTCAATTGGTGCTACCTTTCGGCGATCACATATATCATCGTTCCGAACTCGGTCCATTCTTGTGTGACCGCAAATCCATCGCAACATACGCATTTCTGCAACACTCAGTTGTTGAACATGTCGAATCTTTGTAGGCCAACATTCTGCTCCATATAATATAGCCGATCTAATCGCCGTTCTATAGAACTTGCCTTTTAGCTTTTGTGGTACCCTCTTGTCACGAGAGAATGCCGAAGCTTGTCGCCACTTGATCCACCACAGCTCGGCCGCATGGGAGGATGCCCCGACACCGGGTAGACGAAGTCGAGGCGGCACCAGCGTCGTCCGCAAAGGCTCCATCGCCTCCTTGATGCGTTGCGCGATCTCGGAGTTGTGGAGCGTTCCCTCGGCGATCGCCGTTCCGTCGAACGACGCCTCAGGCGCCATCACGTATAGCGAGAACGCGCGCGTCATCAACGGCGCCACCCTCGCTAGTGGTAAGCCACGATGACGCCCGACCCCTTCGGCCGTTCTTCTTCAGGATGCGGATGGCGGTGATGTGGTCTCGGATCTTCTTCTTGTCCTTCTCCGGGACGCCCCACTTCCTCCACTGCTCCGGGGCCTCTTCGATCAAGCGCCCGGTGAACTCCGGCAGAGGGGCGGCGGCGTCATTCTTGAGGTAGAACCACTGCGATTGTCACCCCTTGTTGACGTCGAAAGCCGCATGGACAGGTACTCGCCGACCCGATTGTTCCGAAGTTGGATGCCGGCGCACCCCATCGGCATGTGCAGCTCTTGCCTGCCGCCCTTCTCCCTCTTCTTCTGGAGGTTGACGGCGAAGAAATACCTTCACAAGTCGAAGTGGGGGCTGATCCCCAGGAATCCTTCGCACATCGCGACGAACGCCGCCATGTGCTTTGGATCCCGTTGGGATTGAGATGCTGCAGCTCAATCTTGTAGAAGTGCAATAGCCCCCGGAGGAATTTGTGGGCGGTGGTCGCGAGCCCACACTCGTGGAAGTGGGCGAACGACACCACGTAGCCGTCGGGCGGCGACGGCGAATCCTTGTTGCCGGGCAGCAACCACTCCTCGGCCGAGGTCCGCGCGCGGAGAAGGCCGCGACGGATGAGGGCCCTCCATGCGCTGGAAGGTGATGTCGGAACGGCACCACGGATCCATTAGAGGTGAGGGCGGATGGATGCGAGCTCAATGGCGGCGGAGATGTGGAGGCAGGAAACCTAATCGTTGGCGGCGGCGGTGTGGCTGCGGCGGTAAGGATGCAGGCGTGCGTATGAAACACGGAGGGCTAACCCTTTGGTTTTATAGGGGCGACGGGTGCGGGAAAACCAACCGGCCGCCTAGATCTCCGCGCCTGCCACGACCTGTCACCACGTCTCGTTGCGGGGCGTGCGTATGCAACCTATGGCCGTCCCCTCGAAAAACGTGCCGGACGTTTGGCCTCCCCAAACGAGCCACGACCCGTAACAGGTAAGAGGGATACGGAGCTGAAAATGCTCCTACGACCCGCCTAGGCCCAGCAGTTCGAAGGTTGGCCCACCGACGGGTTCGACAACCGCTCCGGGCACCTTTAGAGTGGGGTGGAAAGGGATGGGCCCGCTAGCGGCCAGTACCCGGGCGCACGAGCGCCGCGGGCATCCCGGCCCACTCCGGATACGATCCATGGTTTTTCCTCGAAGAAAGGCAGAGAGTCCTCGGGACCGGTCGAACGGACCCGAGAACTATATGGATTGACCGTTGAGAATCTGGAGTCGGACACCAGCTGACCCAAGACGGACTCCCACGAACAGGATGTCGGGGCCCCACTCGGACTAGCCCGTTAACAGCTCACCGAGCACCATTATTCCTCCATAGAGGAAAATCATGGCACGGCCCAGCCCCTCCGTTTTTATCGGAAAAAACGCTTGAGGGAAGACGATCACAAAGACGAGCCTACCCTCGACCAAACCCCTGCTACGGGCAGGGGCTCGAGGAAAGTTGGACTCGCAAGGAGACCGAATGCGTGGTCGCAGAACGACAGACCCCCGTAGGGGTCGGAATCAGGAAAGACCTTTTTCGACCCACTAAATCTCACGGCTATACCCCCGACGGGTCCGATCACGATGAAAGGGAACTGCCGTCCCCAGGACACGTCGTGGGCGACAAAAGAAGGCCAAGACCCTCAGAGTCCTCCCGTTCGGAAAAGCCTCCGAAGGAGTATTCTACTCCTCCGCAGGTCGGGGGCTACTGTCGGGTATCGATATTAGGGATACCCAAAGCAAGTGAGTTAGCGCCCATGCGGACTCCCCCGGACAGACCAAGACGTATTAACATGTCTCGCCTGACCCCTTGGGTACGGGCTCCGTCTCGCCCGACCCCAAGGACGCAGTTTCCGTCTCGCCTGACCTCGAGGCTGCGGGGATCTCGCTCGAGACCGCGGGCTCTGTCTCGCCCGACCCTTGGGTGCGTGCTCTGTCTCGTCCGACCCCCAAAGGTCGCGGGCTCCGTCTCGCCCGACCCCGAGGTTGCAGTTTCCGTCTCGCCCAACCCTGAGGCCGCGGGGATCTCGCCCAAGGCTGCGGGCTTCGTCTCGCCCGACCGTTGGGTGCGTACTCCGTCTCGTCCACCCCCCAAGGGTCGCGGGCTCCGTCTCGCTCGACCCCCAAGGGTCGCGGCCTCCGTCTCGCCCGACGGGGACCCATATTGCCGCCAACCACTCCAGGTCCAGACGTATGGGCCTGGTTTAAAACTCTGAGACCAGGGAAGAGACGGGCACGACTCGATATAACCTGAGGCCATGACGGGCCATACCTGAGGATTCACATCAAGAATAGCGTCGGGCGTACCGGTGTTATTCTGCCTAACCCTGGTACAAACGTGGATAGGCGCGTCAGTTCACCACGACGTCCGCCGGGACGGGATAGAACGCCATAATCGGCAGATGACGCCCTCGCATGGCGCCAGTGACGGACAGGGCCGCGACGTGGAGCCGTCCCTGTTGACATCTACAGGATCGGCGGGACCCACATGAAGGAGAAGGACCCGGCGATCCTGAAAGCCTTCATCTCTCTCGTTCTTCTCCTTTTCCTCCGCTGTAACCCGCGTTTTCCCTAGGCCTATAAAAGGGAAAGCAGGGCGCCCCATGAAGGGGGGAGGGGATCCAGATCGGCACAAGACCAAACCACGAGATAAAAACACAGGAGCACGACACGAGCACACGGCTGAGCAGCGATCGAGCTCTCAGCACCCATTCATTCCTTTCCTTGGAGACTTAGGATCCTTTCCCGCTCTCGCCTGTTTGTAACCCCTACTGCAAACCAAGTGCCGGTAACACGAGCAGCAGCAAACTGGACGTAGGAACGTTCCGCCCGAACCAGTATAAACTCTTGTGTCCTCCGAGCACACCATCCGAGCCAGACGCGCAAATACAAATTTATTTGTCGGTGGTCCGAAAACACCGACACTACTTAACCTTCCAAACTCACATCTCCCTCCTCCTGTACAACTCCGCCAAAGTCGCATCTCATGTATTCGGTTTTAGTTCTGCTCAATCTAAAACATTTAGACTCAATGGTCTGCCGCTATAACTCTAGTTTCCTATTTACACCCGCCTGGCTTTCGTCCACTAGCACTATATCATCAGCGAACAACATACACCAAGGGATATCCTCTTGTATGTTCCTGGTAACCTCATCCATTACCAAGGCAAAGAGATACGGGCTTAAGGCTGACCCTTGATTAAGTCCAATTTTAATCGGGAAGTAATCTGTGTTACCATCGTTTGTTCGAACACTAGTCATAACATTGTTGTACATGTCCTTGATGAGGGTCACGTACTTTGATGGGACTTTATGTTTGTCCAAACATCACCACATAACATTTATTGGTATCTTGTCATAAGCCTTCTTCAAGTCAATGAAAACCAAGTAGAGGTCCTTCTTCTGCTCTTTAAACCGCTCCATAACCTATCTTATTAAGAAGATTGCTTCTGTGGTTGACCTTCCGGGCATGAAACTAAATTGGTTCGTTGATATCTGCGTCGTTCCTCGCAGGCGCTGCTCGATGACTCTCTCACATAACTTCATAGTGTGGCTCATCAACTTAATCCCCCGATAATTAGTACAACTTTGGATATCTCCCTTGTTCTTGTAGATTGGTACCAATATGCTTCTTCTCCACTCCTCAGGTATCTTGTTCGATCGAAAGATATTGTTGAACATCTTGGTTAGCTATACTATAGCTATATCCCCGAGACATCTCCACACCTTGATTGGGATACCATCAGGGCCCATCGCTTTGCCCCCTTTCATCCTTTTCAAGGCTTCTCTGACCTCCGATTTATGTTCTTACTCAAATATGCGCATGGATCTTATGCTACAGAAGTACAGAATAAATGCATGGGCTGGGGCGCTGGGCTTGAAAAAATATATTAAAAATTCATTAGAAATGCTCACCAATTCTCGAGTAATAGTAGCTTAACTACATGTGGTTTGAGTCATTTGCATTTTTGGTCCACTGAATCAGGATAATCTGTTTATTCTGATATTCCTAATGCATTCAGTCTGAACTATTAAGCATTCAGTTCTCTAACTTAGCTATATTTACTTGTATTTTTTAGGGTTGACCTTGCTCTAAGTAAATGAAATATTACACAGGTAATGAGCAGCTGAAAAGATTGAGGATCCTCTGCTTGCATGGTTTCCGCCAGAACGCATCCAGTTTTAAGGGAAGAACGTCAGCACTTGCCAAGAAGCTGAAGCACATCGCTGAGCTTGTCTTTGTAGACGCACCTCATGAGCTTTCGTTTGTATATCAACCAATCCAGGGCCACTGCTCAGACAAACCTTCACCTCTGTCTGTGACACCAAAACGGAAATTCGCATGGCTCATTGCTCCAAACTCCCACTGTAACCCTGAGCAAGACTGGAGGGCTGCAGATGTGCCGTTTGACCCTCTTCAGTACCAGCAACAAACCGAAGGCTTTGAGGAATCATACACGTACCTTGAAAATGCAATCTCTCACATGGGGAGCTTCGATGGAATCCTGGGCTTCTCTCAGGGTGCTGCCATGGCTGCCTTATTCTGCAGGCAGCAGCAGAAGATTTGTGGCTCTCCAAAGTTCAGGTTTGGGATGTTCTGCTCCGGATACCCAGCACCTGTGGGCGATTTCGGCAACGAACCAATCAAGCTCCCCTCGCTCCATTGTTTCGGCAATGGGGATGGTCATGATAGGCAGATAGCAAACAGGGCGAGCGCTGAACTTGCTGGTTTGTTCGACCAGGATTGCTGCTCCGTTGTTGAGCATGATATGGGCCACATAATCCCCACCCGGTCGCCCTACATCGATCGGATAAAGGATTTTCTTTCCAGTTTCCTATGAAATGTTTTCAAATGATTCTATTCTGTTGCTGTTGTAAGTTGGTGTACACAAGTTGGGTTCTGAATGGCATTGACCGTGTGTTGCCGGTGATTAGTGTTTTGCATCTGATTGATCTAAACAAATTGGGATTCTCATCTCACACTGACTCTTTGAGATTACTGGTGCCACGGCATCAGAATGTTTTGAAGTAATATATTTTGGTATTTGGTATAGAAATTTTAATTTCGAAACTAGTGAGTCGACGAACCGCCCAGGCCACCCACCCCCTTTTTTTTTGTTCCAATTTGTGATTCTTTGATCAAATACTTGTCAATACCACTTTCTTCAAATTCAGATCAACTGCAATTGATCTTTGAATTCTGAAAATTCTCCGTCTTCCCAAGTCTCAAGACCTGGCATATTATACATACATAGAGAGGATGAAAGTTTCATGGGATGAAACCTATAACATTTCCAATATATCATTTCCAATATAAAGAGTTTTGGAAATTGGACACGAAATCCACTGAGGTTGGCCTTAGCCCTGAATAGATGTGCTTTAAGATTGGTGACAACTAGAGAGAGAAGGCGAAGTGAACTTGAACTTGAGACGAGAGAGAGGGAACGCAGGGGGAGGGGCACGAAGAGAGACGAAGCGAACTCGAGCAAAGGTTTTAGCGAGGCTGTTGCCGATGGCCATGGCGGCGCGGCTGCTGCGAGCAACCGAGGTAAGCAGATGGTTGATGCTCCCCACTCCCATCGCTTCTTCGCCCTTCCTTCTCGTTCTTTCATTTTCTGTTTTTTTTCATTTTCTGGGAGGAGGGGAGGGTGGGATTCTGTGGCCTGGCTGCTCGCCTTGGGTGGCGGCGTGCATGTGTGCGGCGGCCGAGTTGGTACTCCGAGGGCGCAGGTGGCGGTAGACTCGGAGTTCTCGGCGGCGCAGGCGGCGGTAGAATCGATGGCTTTTCTTCGATTTCAGGATTTAGGTGCCTTGCTCAGTTGCTCGCACTATTCCGTCGACTTGACAGGGTGTTCAGTGTCTAGTACTCTAGCACCTCGGGTAATCAGTGGACTACCATTCCGTAGGCTGTGGCCGCCCAGGTATGGCGTGAGCAAGTAGTTTCCGTGGCAATTGACAACGGTGGTGTTTGAGGAGGATGGCCACTAGTTGTTCGAGCAAATGCCTCTATGGGATGACGCAGCAACACCTGCTGAGCAGATCACGTTCCGGGCTGCGGTTGCATCGAGAGTTGCTGCACAAGATGTGTCTGATGACATGCTTTGCAAGGATGTGGTATGGCCTTGACTCAGCCAGTCTGTTTCAGCTAGTAGCAGGGTTTGGTGAGTACGGTAGCGGTGAGGGGAGCAAGCTACATCCTCAGTCAGCTAATGACAATATGTTCACTCTCACTCAGCTCAGCAGTGTCACTCTCTCTTGGAATTTGGCGTGGATTGTCTAGCTGAGATGTTTGATGAAATGCCTCTTAAGGATGGTGCAATAACACAGGCTAAGCAGATAGTCTCCAGGGCCTCCTCTGCTGCATCGGAGAGTGCTGCACAAGAGGTGTTTGATGAAATGCCTAGTGAGGTTGTGTGGGACGAAAAGATGCCGTCTGAAATGACCGTGCATGCTGTCGAGGTTGTCTTCCTCTCCGCTATCGCACGGTGACTAACATCATCCGGCAACGGTACACCTTGTCTGCCTCTCCGCTATCGCACGGTGACTAACAGTTGCAACAACTAGCCTTGGGGAAAGATGGCTTGTTGCAACAGCTAGCCTTGGGAAAGAGTACTTGGATGATGATAAGGCAAAGTCGGCTTCCGAGTTGATTGCCCATTTCGTTGACTTATCACTGCCCCTGGAACTCGGAGTCTAACTGAAACCAAGTGGTTGATGGCACACACATCAAGGGTCTGATTATCAGAAAGTAAAGTGTTGGAAGAGTTATTAGCACACAGCTGCAGCTTGCATGGCACCAATTGGGCTACTACAAGAACAACAGGGAGATGATGTGCTGGAGATGACAATATCTATAGGTGATGAGGTACTCCGTACATGACTTATATTCTTGAGGTTCCAACCAAGACAATAAGGTTATGCTCCTTGCTTATGATGGCTCTCATGAAGCTCTAATTCTTAGGATGTGTTGAGCTTGTTGGGGGTCCAAAGAACAGAAACTCAGATATTCTGGGGGATCGAATAGGGAGTGAGTAGCTCGAAGGAACCATCTTGGAGGAAGGAATTTTACTGCAGTTTTGCTAACCATCCTGTTAGGGGCAAAATCAGGGCATCTCTCCCCCTGTCTAAGTCTTTTTTTATGCCTAGTAGAAATCTTGGTGATGCCAGAAATGGAGGCCACATATAGTATAGCCAGTAGGCAAGATAGTTTGGGATGATTTGTCTTCAGTGGGATAATTAGATTGGTTGTTGAGGGAAATTTCCTATGTGTTTCAGTGTTTGTGCCAGTAAAGCTTTGTCAAGTTTTGATTTAGATGATGCTTTTGGTTAGCATGGGCTGAAATTGTGTGGATTGCATATCTCCTGCCTCCCTTATAAAAGGCAAGGTTTATCTTGTCTTCTTTGACAGCCACACTTATATTTCCTGATTGCCAACTAGATTACTGCTACAGTGCTACAAGCCACGGCCCAATCAAACAGGGCCTAAGTGCCCGAGCTTATTGTTAGATAGAAGTGTCCTTTCCTGATGAGAGAGGTGGCAAATTCTTCACAGGCTGATCTACACATTATCCTTTTTCTTTTTCCTCCTAAATCGTTGTGAAATGTGAACTTCACCTGCAGTTAGATGGCATTGATAAAAACAAATGTCTCTGTATTGTTTAGCACCATGATAGTGATTCATCTTTCTTTTTGGATTGCACCCAGGTGGCATCTCGATTTCTATCTGCTTCCCATGGTTTGGTTCAGCGAGCTGCATACACAACTGGTGGCATAGTCGATGTTGGCCAGCCAACACCCCAGTCTCATCCTGAGGTATTGACAATCTCATTTCTTACTTGCCGCTGGTACCAGATTTTGCAGGCATGTTGACCCTGGCTTTGCATATTGGGTATTTAGTGTTTAGACACTGATACTAGTCGCCAGTGGCGGAGCTTGGACCTAAATCCAGCAGGGGGCAATCATTAAAGAACAAGGCTAATCTTTAGTTTTTATCAAGCCAAAATGGCTGCAAGTTCATGGGTGGTCATGGCCCTTATTGGCCTGTGAGAAGCTCCGCCACTGCTAGTCGCATTGTCTTTTTGGAGACTTAACTAGTTGCTACTTGCTAGTTCTTAAAGTATGTTTTAAGTCACCTGTTTTCCAATGCTGCCCTATGTTGGCCTGTACCGTTTCAGTACCATTTTACAAGGAATGCAATTCAGTTTGCATGTATACTTTCTCATCTTATTATGAAAATTTGAGTTTTTCTGTGAGACATGCAGCAGTAGTGCAGGACCACCAAAAAAATACATGCATCTAAAAAGGAAGCCCAAAAAGGAATGACTTTTTTATGCCATTCTAAATGAGATTGTGTCACCTTCTGTTCCTCTTTTAATGTACTAGTATCTATTAGTATATCTAAGGCCTGGCACCTGGTTCATTTTCAACCTTAAGTTAGCCATGAGTGCCAAAATCCTTTCATACAGAGAAGTTGAAGTTGGGGTAGAAGATTATCATTGCTTATAATCTTATATAGGTTTATGATCTGAGTCAACACAAAGTACTTTATTTATCAAATAAACTAATTAATAGTATGGCTTTTAAGTTACTAGAGCTATAATCTGGTCCACATTGGGTGCTGTTAGGCCGAATATGCTGATATGTTAACTTCTCATCCACTAAAAGACAGTCTCTGCAAATCTAGTTAAATTCTGCTCTTATTATTGTTTTTGTTATTTTGTTAAACCAACTAGTTGTATGTGTTTTCTTAAATATTGCTACTATATGAGCCAGTTATTAGCTGATGGAGAGATCACACCAGGCATCACAAACGAGGAGTACATCTCTAGAAGAAAAAAGCTTTTGGAGGTGCTACCAGAGAAGAGCTTGGCCATTATTGCTTCCGCTGATCAGCAGATGATGACTGATGTAGTGCCATATCCATTCAGACAGAATGGTGATTACCTGTATATTACAGGTTGTATGCAACCCGGTGGTGTAGCAGTTTTGAGTGAAGAAACAGGGTTGTGCATGTTCATGCCAGATACAAATAAGGAGGTAATGAGCCCTTATTTTGATAGCTTTTTTATGTAAGCCACACAATTCTTATTAATGTATTATTGAGCTAGGATGTAGTTTGGCAAGGTCAAACTGCTGGAGTTGAGGCTGCTGTGGATTTCTTTAAAGCAGATAAAGCATTTCCACTTAGTCAGATGCAGAAGGTCAGCACTCAGATTTTCTTCCAGCATTATCTACTGCATCACTTTCAATCACTAGTTGTTACTTCCTGCTAGTGAATAGTGATAATACTTTGTTGGTGTAGATTTTACTGAATTCTCCACCTGACCACATTAATGCTATTGCTACTAAAATGCAGATCCTTCCTGAACTGATTGAGCGATCAAAAGGGGTGTATCACAATGTGAAGACAGCATCATCTTATAAGAACTTGGATGCCTTCCGTAGGGCATCACTCAATAATAAAGTAAAAGATCTTACAAATTACACCGATGAATTACGGTGGGTCAAGTCAAAATCAGAAATTAAGTTGATGAGGGAATCAGCGTCTATTGTTTCTCAGGTATTTGGTTAAATGTTTACCTTTGCCATCCAGTCTTAGGACTTAGAGTATTAATCAGTTCAGGACATAGTGTGTTTGATGTTCCAGATCCCAATATTAGTCTACCTTGCTTGTGATACAATTCTTAGGAGCTGGAGTTATTCTGGTTGGGGAAGGGACAAGATGGTTTTTATTTCTTAGGTGAACTTTTGGAGTTGATGTGGGAAAAATCATTTGTAGAGAACTAGACGGGGGTACCTGAGCTAATTAGATAGGTGGATGAACATGTAGTCCTTTTTGGTTTGGTAAAACCAAAGGTACACTGTTTGTCTAATGATTATCCATACCACACTGTCCTGCACATATTTTCCCTGCCTCCTGGTTGGCTCCATAACTCAGGTTAGTGCACTCAAGCACCCCCACAGTGTGCATCTCCCTACTATTGGTTGGGCATCCAACAAGAGCCCATTGGAAATGTCTAGTCCTTTTTGGTTTGGTAAACCCAAGGCTACACACGATGCCCTAATGATTATCCAATCCATTTTCTGCCTGCGCATATTCCCTGCCTCTTGGCTGGCTCCGGAACTCAGGTTTGTGCACCCAGACACAGTGTGCATATTCCCTTATTGTGTCTTCCTACTATTGGTTGGGCCTCCAACAAAGCCCACTGAAAATTTAGTATGTCTGGAATTTCTAGTTCAGTTAGCGACTTGCAGTATGCATGCAGGACGCAAGGCATCAAGCCTGAAACACAAGAGCAAGTTGTCTTCAGTAAAACTTTGTTATGTTTGACCGACTTTATAGAAAAAAAATACAAATATTTGTGACACCCAATGAGCGTATTATGAAAATATAGTTTATGGTATATCTAATGATACTAATTTGGTATCATAAATCTTGGCGCTCTTTTCTATCAATTTGGTCAATTTTTTAAAAGTTTGACTTAAGACGAGTCCTAGAAACTGATTTATTTAGGAACGGAGAGAGTATTTAACAACTGACTTAAATATGTGTGACAACTTGAATTTTTCGGAGCACTGATAGATTCTCTCTACTTGGCCACAGTCTCTTTTACAAACGATGTTGCTGTCGAGGACCCACAGAGAGGAAAGCCAGTTGGCAGCTAAGATTGAATACGAGTGCAAAATGAGAGGTGCCCAAAGAATGGCGTAAGCATTCTGTTGTGTATCCTTGCTATCCATTCATTTGTTAATTGATAATTTAGTTGTGTTCTTATGAATAGGTGTGGATCGAGGAACCTTTCTTTTTGTTCAGGGAGCAAGGTCCTAGTATCAGACAATTTATTTACCTTGTGTTTGGTTGCCATATCTTAGGTTCCATCCTGTAGTAGGTGGAGGAGCAAATGGCAGCATTATACACTACTCAAGAAACGATAGAAAAGTAAGTGCTTCTTTTTTTGTCTCTTGTTGGCTCATTCCACATCTCAGAGCTATTTTCTTGTAAAGTCAATAATGCAGCTGTTTGACAGATCAGAACAGGGGATCTTCTGCTCATGGATGTTGGCTGCGAGTATCATGGCTACCTTAGCGATTTGACTCGAACATGGCCACCCTGCGGCAGATTTTCACCTGCTCAGGTAAGCGCACAAACTTTACTGCCCTATTTATACACTAGACTAGAGAAACAGTTGGTATAGTCTGCTGTTTTGAAGATTTGAGCTCAGAGTTTGAATCCTCATCTTGACTGAACCTAGGAAGAGCTGTACAACCTAATACTGGAGACAAATAAGGAGTGCATAAAGCTCTGTAAACCAGGCACAAGCATTAACGAGATACACAATCATTCGGTATGTCTTTGGTGGTATCATTCTTCCTATTTTTGTAAATAACATATACTAAATACCATGAAAAATTCAGAGAAGACCCATATATCTCAAAAAGATCTGTGAAATGCAGGTAAAGCTGCTGATAAAGGGATTCCAAGAACTGGGGATCCTGGAGAAGGGGAAATCGATCCGATACAACTACTTGAACCCAACCGCAATAGGTAGGTCCCGCCATCTGGCTGCCCATCTGTTCTCTAGATTTGGTCTTGAATGCATTTGGTGGTGGTACCGCAGGGTCGGGACCAAAACCTAACATGCCCCCTTTGTGTTGTGTCCCTGTTTCCAGGTCACTCGTTAGGCATGGATATTCATGACTCCATGACACTCCCCAAGGACAAGCCCTTGGAGCCCGGCGTTGTAAGTCGATCTATTTTTCTCCCTCCCCTTCCTACTGCCCATGTTATCTCATTTACCATCCCTATTTCCCTGCTGTGTCCACGCGTTGATCGTATCCGGGACACAAGTACGACAACCCAACTGGCCTGGCCCCGTTCGCTCGGAGGAATTCTGGAGGAATTTGGATTGTTTGGATGAATATTGGAGGAATTTGTGAGAGAAAAATACTGTTCCGAATGAAAAAAGAAACGGATCTAAGTCAGGTTTAAGGGCATGCGAACGGGGCCAGATGTCTGGCACCATCACAGCCCAACATATAGCGATTCCGTACTAGCATCACTCGCTAACTGCAATGTAATGTACTAGACATGTAGTGCGTGCTGCCGGTGCTGGATCGGCGAGGCATGCTGCATGCGCCAATTAAACCCGTTGTTGGGGCCAGGTCGATCGCCATTTTGGAGTTTTGAGCTCCAGCAGTGTCTGACTGGACTAACTGGCAAAGCATGTTCTGGTCCATGTCCGTGTGCGTTGTGCAGGTAATAACGATCGAGCCCGGGGTGTACATCCCGGCGGCCCCGGTCCTGAACGAGCGCGCGCCGGGCAGGTACCGCGGCATGGGCATCCGGATCGAGGACGAGGTCCTCGTCACCGACGACGGCCACGAGGTATGTACTGCTACGTATGTAACATAACAACGCTGGGCGTTGGGGGTTCGACTTGGACTTCGATCCATGCTGCTGAATGATGGTGGTGGCCTTGTCGGCATGCATGCAGGTGCTGACGGCGTCGGTGCCCAAGGAGGTCTCCCACCTGACCACTCTAATGAGCATGGGCAGCGGTGGCGATTATCCCAACTCGGCGGCGGACGTCCGTGAGCTGCGAGCTGCCTGCAGCTGAGGCTGCGTGCGTGAGGAGGTCGGCGGCGGTGCCATTCTGATGCCCGTGGCGGTGGCCGGAACTAGTACACCTGGCACGACGCCGTGGCGCAGTATGTTCTGTACGTGCTCTGCGAATATCATCCCTTGCATCCATTGATTACGGGGAGGGACAGAAAGGAAGTTGGAGGAGGTGTTGTACTGTTGTTAGACCAAGGCGCGTCATTGTGCATGCGCAGTTGTGTGGCCGCATTCAGCTTCTTGATACCGGGGGGTTGCACGGTTAACGGTCGCCGTCCCGGGCGGTTAGCCGAAAGGAGCCCGAAGCTGACCGTCAGCCGTGGCATGGTGACCATACAGAGAGGGCTAGGCTAGCAGCCAGACACGTCAGCCAGCCTGGCTGTGTGGCAGCGCCGTGCGTGCTGGGCCCAGTCATGGCGGGCTGCTCGGACAAGAATTCAATGCAGGGTTGGTTGTGAGGTCGCCGTTCGTTCGGTCCTGTTGCAACCATATTCCACTCCAATTTCTAAAAAGTTGCTACAGTATCTGTTACATCGAATGTTTGTGGCCCGTGTATGAAGCATTAAATGTAGACGAAAAGAAAAACTAATTGCACAGTTTGGTGGGAAATTGCGAGACGAACGTTTTGAGCCTAATTAGTCCATGTTTGAACACTATTTGCCAAATAAAAACGAACGTGTTACAGTAGCCTCAAAATCCAAATTCCTACAACTAAACACAGCCTAAATATACTATCTGATCTGACACTGTCACCGTTGCATTGCATTGACCCTGCGGCGCGCACCATCTCGCGCGCGGCTAGAATAGAGTTCAATAGCTCGGTCAAAAAACGAATGCACCTTAGGCCCTGTTCGTTTTACTGAAAAAATAAGTTGAAACATTATTTCAGCTAATTTATTGTGAGAGAAAAATACTGTTTTAGTTAAAAAAACAAGTTGAAAAAGACGGATTATAAAAGAAACGAACAGAGTCGAGGGTATTTCAAATAGTCGAATAATTTTAAATTTGACAAAAAGAATACTAACATTTATAATACTGAATAAATTAACCCGTTCGGTAGCACTTATTTGCAGCCGGCTGCTGCTGTTTGAATAGTGCTGTGTGACGGAGGTCTCAGCCAGGGCCTCTGCCATACAAACTCATTTAGATATATAGAAGTTGATATTTTTTTATCGATTTAGCCACCTAGTAAATTTGACTGCTCTGAATCTAGAATCGTGTTTTTTAGAAGCGAGGCAGTAGCTCATATACCCATTTGGTATGGCTTCAAATGGCCCCGGCTCATTGCTACGGTGTACAGGAGAAGCCAGAGCCCGGTGAATCAAAAAAAAAAAGCTTCACTTGCTCCTAGTTTATTTTGAGAGATAGAAATGGTTTCTTACTACAATAGTGCATAGGAAAAAAAAACCAGAGCCGGGGTCAGACGAAACTCCACCAAATAGAGTCATAGCATCGCTAAAAGGTTTATTTAGTTGCACTTCAATCCACCCTAGCTACTTCATAGTTGGGAGGGATTGAGATGGAAAATTAAACCATGTAGATCAAAAGTGCAACTAAACTAAATATGGGGGGATGGAGATGACAAGCACAAATAGTGCCCATGCCCAAAGCGTATTGGGGCTTAGGCATCCCCAATCTTAAAGAGCTGAATGCCTGCTTACTACGGTTCTGGATCAAAAGGTATTACCTAGATGACAAAAGGCTTTGAAAAGAGGTGACTGATTTTAAGTATAACACTTGTGAACCTAATATTTTTTTGAGTTCTACAGTAGGTTCCTCACAGTTTTTTAAAGTTATGATTTGGGCTGCCTCAGCAGGTTACAAATTGAAGATATGTAAAGGTAAAAGAGAAAATTACTTCTTGGCCCTAAACAAAAGTTCAAGTTTCATCCTTGGCCCTTTTAGTTTCGAGGTTACTTATTTAGTCTGGAATACAACTTTGGTTTCTTACTTGGCCCTTCCGTCAGATCTGCTCACTAACGGTGTTAAGTGGGGTATGAATTTGATGCTTTGCCCCCTGAACGCGAGATGGACAGGTGTACAGAGTTAAGTTTTGATATATCCATTTTGTGGATTATTTGGAATATTTTCTAGGGAATCTAATGAAATCTATTGGATTGGTTCATGTGCTAGGTCTCAGTGTGTTTCGTGTAATTAGAGTAGCTATCTGCTAAGAGCAACTCCAGGTATTTTCTGTAATGAACTTGCTAAACCAACAAATTTAACGAGTTAAGAAAATAAGTAGCAACCTTAGTTTATTTCTCTTTCTCCAATAGTTATGATTTTATATTGGGAACATCGGCTTTTTCTAACCAACCAAACCTTTTTTTAATAGTTTCGTTGTTTCTTATTGTTTTTCTCACATGGAACCCGTTATTTTCTTAACTTACTCGTGCGTCTAATTTACTCTAATCTCTCGAGAAAAACACCGGATGGTGAGCAGATATAGAGTTACTCTTGACTTTGATGAAAACTTACGAGTTGAAAAAAAATATTGGACAAGCTTTTTTATTTTTAAAGAGTCTTTTTTCACCAAATTATTGGGGAGGACTTACTTTCTTTTTGATGTTAAAAATCAAAATAGGAAGTTGTTTTACAAGACACCTGGAGATCCTCTAAATTAAGCGTGAATCCTCTTGGGCCTAGGTCGTCCAAGGCAGGGCAGGCTCGACGTGCTCCAACGAAAAAATGGAGGATGACTCGCCGGCAAACAACCCTGTTAGGAACAATGATAGCTGATGAAGGGAATTTAGGGTAGAAATAGCAAGGATTCATACAGGATTCAGAGAAATTTGGGGAAGAAGGTTCAGCGCGGAAAACACCTGCGAGAACACAAGAGTTTATGGATTATGGTTTAACCGCTCAACGATTCGGTTACAGGTCCGCGGCTTAATTTTATGTCATGTTTCCCTGAGGAGTCAGTCACCTGCGCTAGCTGTACTAGTACGGAGTACGTAGGTTTCACGCTGAACCGGTCTTGAGGGAGAAGAGGAGAGGAGAGGAGACGAGACAGGCCAGGCAGGGGTCGATGTTGATGCTGATGCGTGATGTAACTGCAGACCCCGCGACTGACGACGGATGGATTAGGATTTGGATGGACGGCTTGGCTTCGTGTTCTTCAGCCAACAAATAGTGTTTTTAAGCACGTCAACGAATGATACTTTTAACACTCACTTTTCAGCGACACGAACAGCGCCTGTCGTCGTCTCTCCTTCCTTGTTTCGTCGCCCCAACCCCAACTAACCAACCGTCCCCCATTTATGGCAGGCAGGGAGGGACAGGGCAGGTGGGCGGTTGGGCTACGCTACGCGCGTTGGTGCGGCGGTCGGGATCGCCCCCGGTGGACGGCCTGGATCCGCCCCATCCATCCATCCGCACGGACAGGCATCATGGGGATCTATGGGAGCAACCCCCAACAACGTCTTGTCGCCTCCCCTAAGCAAGCTGCCTCCAAGCGAAGCAAAGCAAATGCAGATCCAGCAGTAGTCTGCAGTTTCTCCCTGCTAGTCCACATACTCCTATATAACCTCATTATTATCCACCTAATTAGAAACATACATCTCTCTACTTTCTTGATTGCAAATAATAAATAATTTTCTAAAAAAATAATTAGCAATAATTAATATTTTACCCACTATATATCTTTCTTGATTATGATATACAATCTCAAACAAAATAATTAGCCACAATTAATATTTTACCCACCCTAATCATCCTTCGTGCAAACTTAATCCCATTATTACCCACCTAATCGAAAGTATATATTTCTCCACTTTCTTTGATTATAATAAACAATTTCAAAGAAAGCAATTAGGAGCCATTAATATTTTACCCACTATAATCCTTCATGCGAACTTAATTCCATTTCTAACTAATGAAATAGTTATAAGTTGGATACTCAGCTACATTATAGGTGTATATCGGTGTATTGTACTGTACCACCCTTTGTGCTACATTATAGGTTGTATTGGGTTCTCTGGATAGCTTTTGCTATGTATCTAGATCTACAGTATGTTTAGATACATGTTAAAAATTATATATTTATCTAGAAAAACTAAAACGATCTATGCATCGAAACGCATCGGAGGGAGTATATTCTAGTGGTGTACTAGGATTAAGTAACGATAGATGAATTTGCGGTTGGTCGCCGCATGCACGTATTACGACGTTATCGCTGACTCGGACACTCACCTGTTCATCATCACTCACCAATCCAAATCCAAATGAAATCTGGACCAAGGGGCTGTTTGGTTCCCCGCCTCAACTTGCCGCACGGATATTTTTGTATACTGTTTGGTTGATAACTAACATCCGGCAGCCACAACTGGCCCCCCTCTGAAACCTCTCACAAATCTCGCCACACTTCGTGGCGACCCATTCCTACGCCACAAGCTATGGCACGCCACGATCTGCCGCCGTAAGTGCGGTGTGGCAGGTGACGCCCGGCATCCAAACAGCCTCCAAATTCATTCTCCATCCAATCCAACGTGATGAAAACATCTTGCAACCCCTAGCCACATCCCCTACTATCCTGTCGGCTCGCCTGCCTTGCTTGCTTTCCTCCAAGCAAAAGCAAATGCAAATGCAAATCCAAATCCAAATCCAGTGAGCCCATCTCTCCTCCCTGGTGATGCTAGTCCTATATAAAGCCCAGGCACCGCGTGCTCCCTTCTCCAAACACGCAACACTCGCCTCCTCCTCCTCACTCCATCCGTCCCTCCAACCAGCCAACCCACAGTCCCACACCTACAGCACCGCCAGCCTCCGCCGCCGCCGAAGATGACGCTGACGATCCCCGACGAGGTGCGCGCGAAGGCGGAGATCTACCTGGGCGACGCAGCCGGTCAAGAAAAAACCCGCCTCCTCCTCCACGAAATCGGCCTCCCGAGCGGCCTGCTCCCGCTGCGGGACATCATCGAGTGCGGGTACGTGGAGGAGACGGGCTTCGTGTGGCTCAAGCAGCGCCGCAAGGTGGACCACTACTTCGCGAAAGCCGACCGC